CTCAAAAAATAAAAATTAATAAATATATTGATTTATACATTTTTTTTTTTAATACTAATAATGCAATTATCTTCGAAAGTATTAGTCCTACATAATTTGGGATATGGAAATTTTTGTAAAAAACCGAAGTAGACTAAGAAAAAATTTTTGGAACACTTGAACTTTGATGGACTTTGGCGAGCCTAAGATGCTGACCAAAAATTGTCACACAGATTGTTTTTAGAGCATAATGAACCATATTTTTGCTAAATAGCAATCAAAATTCTAAGAAAAAGCGGATTTTCGGCACACGCTAATATATGTACATACACCACAATTTTGTATATCAGCTGTTACTTGTATACCAGCACTGCTTGTACTACTACTTTAGCACGGTGCTGCCATATTTTGACTCACTTAAATAAAGAGCTCATTGAAACTTAAAAAAAAATTTAAGTGAGAATTAAATAAAAATTTAAATTAAGTTTGATTTCCACATATATGAGTTTGGTGAAATGCAGCCTTAGTCTAAGGGAGCGCCCTAAACCCGTAACCAGCTGTCGACACTTAGCCAGTGTTAGCGCATTAAGCGGAAAGTATTGCACAATTTTTGTGGCAGGCAGCTGCTTAAATGATAAATCATCAATACTAGATTGTAAACTAGGTAAGTGAAATGATTTCAATATGTATGAAGCAATTAATTTTTATTTTTTTTCTTGCAATAATTCACATGTTTACCTTTACTGCTAAACTGGTTTGCGCTTCCAATCTCACAGCACAAGCCAGCGGCAAAAGTAAACTTCCGTTTGAAAAACTGGATATTTGTTTGCAATTATACAAATTTTTAGCAAATACTTGCACTTGAATTAGTTATTCCTTCATTTGAGATGCAATCGCCGCCGCGTTCTATCGACTACTTTGTCAACACTTTTTACTGTTTTCGTATTACATACCTAGTAATATGCATGAAAATTCAAAGTTCAATTCGTTAAGTTATAAATTGAAACTCAGCGAGCGATAGTTAACCAGTAGCCGGCGCGACATCGGTAAGAATACTTTAACGTTAAGCGGCGTTAAGTTAATTTGTATTTGACAGCGAAAAAAAATGCATTTAAACTGCGGTTTTGCTGCAAACCACAAGTTGGTGTTGTTGACGCTTGTGGCGCTTAGTTTACAGTGGCAAGTTTTGGCGGTCGATTTTCGTAAGTCAAGCGGTTTTTGGTATTTTGCGAATTTTTGGAATATTTTTTTTTATCGAAATTTTTGGAAATTTCGTACTAAAATGTGCTTTATTAAAATACCGCTTTTAATGAAAACAAAAAACTAAATAAATAATAACCCCTTGTAAGCGAAAAGAAATTTAAGTATTCTATCTTTTCAAGCTGAAGTGCTTTCCATGAACGGAAAAAGCTGTGCGGAATATAGCGAAAGATTCGTGCAGCTCTTCGCATACTCGTACTAGTAATTTCATTCGTTAGGGAGGTCAGTTTAGCTGTGTGGTCGCCGCTGAAGCGACTTGCTTCATACCATCGCATAAAGAAAAATTCATCCACTAAAATTTGATAATTTGCGTACTAGCAAAAGCAAAACAATTGTACCGGAAGGAAAAAAAATTTCACTGCTGTGTTTTAGTTAAACACGAATTTTTTGTCTTATCCGAAGAGCCACCAAGCTACATACAGTGGTGAAAATATAAATAAGGCAGAGACATTTTAACACTCGATTATTCAATGTTTATTATTTTTTTTTATGAAAGTGTAGATCGCTATCTAACAACGTTGATAGTCCTATGTCAGAGTGAACTCATGTTTAACGAAAAAATTTTACGTCTTCGTCTACTAAAACTGATAAACGGACTGCAAATACAACACAATCAGGAAGCGATAATTCATGAAGGTGGTGACGGTCACTGCGTGAATATCGTATGTGATTTTTGTAGCAGACGTATTTAAAAAAAAAAAGGATCGCGTTCTCTGCCATCTTCCGTGGAAGTTAGCAGAACACCTTCTGAAACGGATAAAGAACGGATAATTTACGGCAAATTGTCAAATAGTCAGTTTGGGTTTAGCAGGTTTCCTTAATTGGCTTTCAGAGCACGCGATATTTTTTTAAAATATGGCCGCGGCAAAATTATTATATTCACGGATAAATAACGGCAAATTATCCGGTAGGAATTTTTACTTTGGGAAAAAATTTTATACTTCCAACTTCAGAGAGGTTTAAAAAAGCTTTCCTTAAAATCAGGGACAAAAAAAATAATCAGTATTTTTTTAAATTTTAACCAAAAAAATCAACAAGTTGTAATCGTCGTAAAACAATTTTAATGATTTTTATGATTCGAGTTTAACCAATAAAGATTAAAAATAATAATTAATATTGGAGTTTTGATTTTTCGCTCAAAGATAATTATTATTACGTGATTTTTATTTTTTTTTTCGATCACAAATAATGATTATTTTATGATTTTAAATTTTTTCACTCAGGGATAATAATTATTATTGAGTTTTATTGGTTTTACTTAAGAATAATGATCATTCAAAAAACTCAAAAGCTATACCAGCGTAATTTCTGTTGTATCCTTTTCAGAGGTAGCTAGACCATAATAAAATAAATACGTCTCAAAAATTTTCAGGTCAAAATTTCATTAAGTTGCGTCTGTATAGCATTTTCAATTTTATAAATAATTATTATTTTTAAGTGGAAAAATAAAACTCAATCATAATTATTTTCTCAGAGCGAAAAAATAAGAATCACAAAATAATCACTTCCATTGAGCAATATAAATAAAAATCAATAATTATTATGATAAAATTCTGATTTAAATTATTTGACTCATAATGCTTACCGTCCCTGGTTAAAATCCATTTACCATTCGTAGGCGGAGGCAAAACTCCAGAGATCCCTCAATTTTTGTTACTACATTAAGACGCACGCCATAAATTGCAGGAGAAGCGTGGCCAAACACCATCTACCAGTCATGTCGAAAGACTCAATCTTTCTTTCATACCTCGTCCTCATTTGAAATTAGCCTATCACTCCTAAAAGGGGGGGTCTAAAAAGCAGTAAGACCTCACTTAGTGCAGTTTAAAGATTTCCGTTTCAATATATATAGCTATGCCCCATACAATCAAATTAACTTTTAGTTATGTCACCTGTAATATTATTCTATTCAATTACACAGCCGCTCCCATAACAAAATGTCACTTCGGCGACGAAAAATGCCTAATCGAACAGGCACACAAATTGCTGAAGAAAGCTGCTACAGGTATACCGGAGAAGGATATACCCAGTCTAGAGCCGCTGAAGGTGGAAAAAATCGAAATGTTGGGCGATAAGAATAGTGCATTAAAAGTCGACTTAGTGATGAGCGATGTAGAATTCTACAACTACACGAAAGCAAAACTATTATCGATCAAGTAAGTTTTTGAGTGAAAAATGCCAGTGTTATTTATTAAATTTAAGATTTAGTGAATTAAATTTGTAAATCACATGTATGTACTTAAAATTTAATTTCTTGAAGGGGCTTCTCGAAGGACCTTAGCAAGCCAATGAAACTCGTCTCACAAAATATTAATCCACGCATGACCATAAAAGCCAAATACAAAGTCAATGGCAATATATTGGTGTTGCCTATTAAGGGCGAGGGTCTATTAACCATGGTGCTGGATAATGTGAAGTCACGCATTGTGACCACAATGAAGCCGGAGCAGCGTAATGGCAAAACTTATTTAATAGTTGATAATATCAAACTCGAATCTAAACTAGACAAGTGAGTTGAAGCAAATAATTTGTAGATAAATTTTTGTTCGCTAACTAAAATTACTAGATAATAAGCAATTTCCTTGGGAGTATAAAAATTCTCTCACGTTCTCCACTTTCCTCTCTTTCAGTGTCATCACCGATATGACAAACCTCTTCAATGGCGACAAAACGCTCTCGGACGCAATTTTAAAAGTTATGAATGAAAATTGGCGCGTACTCAGCGATGAGCTTACGCCGCGTATCAATGAAGCTTTGGCGCACAAATTTGAAGAGCTGTTACCGAAATTATTTAAGGATATACCCTACGAAGACTACTTTTTGCCGGAATAAATTGGTGCTAGATGAAAAAAAAAATTAAACAACAAATTTTTTTATTTTTATTCGCTTAAGTAGGTGTGTGTTAAAAAGGAACTGTTGCATAGGGACTTTAAACGTTCTACGAAGCAGACGATAACGTTAACTATTTGCTTAGGGATATTTGGAGAGGAAACAGATCCTTTATTCAGACTCGAAAGACCCGTTGTGTTAACATTTTTGCTGGATATTCGTCGTGCTCGTAAAAGGTTGAATATCGCAGATTTTTTACAAGTTTAGGTCCGTAATTGCGTCAAATAAGTGTTTATAGTGTGTATCGTCAGCCGCGGACAGTGGTTGAGAAAGTTGTCGAGCTGTTCTTTCCTCTTCATCGCGGCAGTTTTGACAGCAAATATTAGCTGAATATCTCAATCTTTCCGCGTGTATTTCTATTAAACAGTGGCTAGTTATGATTTCAATTACTACGTTCGCACGACAGTGGTGTCTACGGAAACGGAACTACCCAAGTTCTTATCTGGCCACGGGCTTTTACTCCAAAATCGTTATCGTTATTACTACAGGTATGTTAAGTGCTTTAAGGAGAAGACCTATCCTTCCTGAGCCTGAGTCTGATGTGACCTTCTACTCCACATGCTAATTCCGTGCTCCGATTTCTTTTTTCCACAGTTTGAAGGACGAAAGCGGTACCCGCTTCATTGAGTGCCGAGGACTTTCCTCATCTCCGCGCATATAGTGCTTGTACGGTGAGAAAGAGGACGAGGACATCCTCGAGAATTTCGATAACTATTAATAACCAAAAACCATCTATAGAAATTTCGATAAAAATATCTTAAATTTTATCGATATAAATGCGGAAAATTTTTTTTTTTAAATATTGATAATAAAACCGATGGGAATATCGACAAAAATATTGATTGCGATGACGCAACGATCGCAAAATACTTCTTTTACAATGGCAAGAGAAGAAATTATAGAAATATGAATTATACATAACTTAAAAAATAGCATCGATAACAATAGAGGTACATACACCTCTCTGAAGTTGGCAGGACAACTTTTTCTCAAAGTAAAAATTCCTATCGGATACTTTGCCGTTAATTATCCGTAAATTATCCGTGAAAATAATAATTTTGCCCTTCTGACAACCAATTAAGGAAACCAGCTAAACCTAAACTAACTATTTGATAATTTGCCGTAAATTATCCGTTGTTTATAAGTGAAAAGAATAATTTTGTCGCGGACATATTTCAAAAAATATCGCGTGCCCTGCTAACTTCCACGCACCTTCCGACAACCAATTAAGGTAACCAGCTAAACCCAAACTAA